TCATCTCCACCTGTATATCAATGGAAGGATTGTTTGCAACTGGAGCCTGCAACTCCTTTCTTTTCTGGCTTAGTTTCAACAAAAATCTCTTTACCTTGAGGAACCAAGCAGCTGCAACTTTAAGCCTCATCCAGTCCGAGAAATAGGTGATAAGTTGGTCAGTGGCATTAGGTGAGTCCTTGATGATTACTGTGTTCACAGTGAAGTCTCTCTTGACCTCCGGATCATCTGCTGGAATAGTATTTTCCACAACACTTTCTGGCCAACACCTTTCTGGGTTCCAAAGGAAGTTGGGCACTTCGATCCATCTGCTGTCAATCAGCAGGTCCTCCACCTTCATGCCTCTGGACGCTTCATCCGCCGGATTGTCTTTAGTATTCACATACCTCCATTGTGACACATTTGTAGCTTCTCTGATAGTTGAAACCCGGTTTGCCACAAAGGTATGAAAACGCCTGTCCTCATTCCTTATATACTTCAGCACAGATGTGCTGTCTGTCCAGAAGTTTGAGTCCTCCACTTGTAGCTGCAGCTCTGCTCTTAACATCCTGTCCACACGAACAGCAAGAACCACTGCTGTAAGCTCCAGGCGTGGGATGGTGACCTGTTTTAGTGGTGTAACTCTTGCTTTGCCAAGCAGGAAGGAGACGTGAACATCATGCCTGTCATTCTCCACCCGTATGTAACTAACGGTGCCATATCCACCTTCACTTGCATCGGAAAAGTGATGCAGCTGGGCCTGTGTAGGTTGCCCAAAGTCCTTCGGCTTAATGCACCTCGTGACCTTTAACTCTGACACCCTTGTAAGTTCTTCCAACCACTTTGTCCAGTGCTGTTGTATGTCATGGGGTAAGTTGTCATCCCAACCACAGTTTCTCCTGCACAGCTCCTGCAGCAAAACTTTGCCAGGAAGTATAACTGGTGCAATAAACCCCAAAGGGTCATACACTGAACTGAGCAAAGACAGCATGCCACGTCTGGTATAAGGCCTTTCTTTTATCAGCATCTTGAACTGGAAAGAATCACTCTTAACGCACCACTGCAAACCAAGGGCTCTCTCTAAGGGAAGATTATCCCTATCCAGATCCAGTTCATTTAAGTCCTTGGCTCTGTGTTCCTCTGCAACTGTCCGGAGCACTGTATGGCTGTTACTGACCCACTTTGTCAGACAGAAGCCTCCTTTTTGACAGACAGCTGTTAGATCCTCAATCATTTTAATAGCATCCTCTTCTGACGATGTGCTCTTCAAACAATCGTCCACATAAAAGTTTCGCTTTACTGTCTGAATCACATCAGCTGGAAAGAGGGCCTGATTGTCCTCAGCGGTCTTCCTAAGTGCGTAGCAAGCACAGCTAGGAGATGAGACAGCACCAAACAAGTGCACAGTCATCCTGTACTCTGCCATTTCTTGATTCAGATCACCCTCAGGCCACCAAAGGAAACAAAGGAAGTCTTTGTCTGTCTCTGCTACCCTTACTTGATAGAACATCTGCTGTATGTCTCCCATCAAAGCAACAGGCTCCTGCCTGAACCTTGTGAGCACTCCAAGCAAGCTACTAGTAAGGTTGGGACCCTGCAAGAGTTGGCTGTTCAGTGATGTTCCCTTGAAAGTTGCACCACAGTCAAATACCACACGTAAAGTATTCTTTCTCGGATGGTAAACTCCGTGGTGTGGGATATACCAGACCTTTCTTTCTTCGCAGTCCACCTGATGCTGAGGTATCTTTTCTGCATAGCCTTTGCTGATGACGTCATTAAAGAAGCTTGCATATTCTTTATGGAACTGCTTATTTTTCTCAAATCTCCTCCTAAGACCAAGTATCCTCTGCTTGGCCATAGAGAGATTGTTAGGGAGATTGGGATGCTCTTTCCTAAAAGGCATTTTCAGGCTATAGTGCCCATCCAATAGTTTTGCAGAGTGACTTGTGATTTCCAAGAACCTCTTGTCTTCTCTCGACATTTCCTTATCTTCATAAGTCTTCTCATTGAAGTCATGCATATATTGGTTAGTCAGCAGTTCCTTCAGATGGCAAACAGAAATCCTATTCACTGCAGCAACAGTTAGTCCGACGTCTGGTTTAATAATGTTACCACCTTGCATGGGACCATTAATGACCCAACCCAGCACTGTCTTTATGGCATATGGGCCTCCTCCACGGCTGTTGATGACATCCCAGGGTTCTAATAACTTGGGAGCATTGCTACCAATCAGCAAGTCAACATTGGCCTTTATGCTTGGAATTTGAACGGCTGACAAGTATGACCACTGTGCCAGGACTTTGTGAGTAATGATATTGTCTGATGTTACAGGCATTTGACTCTGAGTGAGCACAACTGGTAGCTGGTAATTACACTCACTGTTAAGACCAGACACTTCAAGGCCATTCAGTGTGTACGTTGGAACCACCTTCTGTTGTCCCATGGTGCGCAGGAGAAAGTTTGCACGTCTTCCTCCAATACTCAGCTTCTGCATGAGACTCTCAGAACAGAAAGTGGCAGAACTACCAGGATCCAAGAACGCGTAAGTGTTTATCACATTGCCTCCCTTGCTGGACTTAACCTTGACGGGCAGTATAGACAGGACACAATCATCTTTTCCGGCCCCTGTATGCCCACAAGTTCCTGGAGAAAGTAATGCACCACTGCTTGCTGGTTCCTTGAACTGTTTTAAGTCTGTATTAGCTCTTTCCTTCTTAATATGAAGCACGGTGGGATGACCTTTACCACAGATTTTGCAAGTAAGATGCCTTTGGCAGCTCCTGCTCATGTGTCCAGTACACAGGCAGGCAAAGCAAATCCCTTTCTCCTTCAAAAAGTTGATTTTCTCCCGATGCTTCTTCCTGTTTAGTTGTGGACACTCCTCCAATGAGTGCTCACGAGAGCAACACATGCAAACAGTGGGATTACATTTCTCAGTTGTACCTTGTTCCCTTACCCCATTACCCTTACCTTCCAGTTCGTAAACATCAGCAAGCTTTATTGTGGTGGCAAAGCTGTTTCCTCTCACGTCCCTTCTGTGTGGCTTAGTCCCAATATTCATGCCAGTTTTCACAAATGAAGAGTCCTGAATATCACCAAAGACAGAATCAGATAATATCCTGACTTCACGTTCAATAAAAGTGACAAGATCTGTGAACCGTGCCCTGCGTTTATATTTCTCCAACACGTCATGTGCAGCAGTTCTCCACCTTTCTCTCAACTTGAATGGCAGTTTAGACATTACTGTTCTCATGGTGGTTGGTGTATCCAGCTCTTTCATATAGTCAAGCTCTCCCATCATGTTACAACAACCGCGCAGAAACAAAGAGTAGGCCTGCAAAGCCTTCACGTCCTCAGATTTAATTGGAAGCCATGCCAGAGCTTTCTGTGTATGCAGATGCAACTTTAAACTCATTTCCGAAGTGCTCATGTAGAAGTTCTTTTGCCAGTGCATAACCACGTTCAGGAGCCATATGCTGACAGCTGCGCACAAGTTCCCTAGGCTGCCCCCTAGTGAACTGCTCCAGAAAGTACAGACAGTCAGCATTGTTAGCCCGGTCTTCCACACCATGTTCGAAAGCACGAATGAAGGCTCTATATTCAAGAGGATTTCCATCGAACAATGTCTCTAGCTGGTAAAGACATTGAGCGCTGCTGCTGAACAAGAGCTGCTGTAATCTCATTCTGTTTCTGCATTATGTGGTAGATGCCTCCAAAAGATGCCTCTTTGAGTTGCGGTTGTACAGGATGTATGAAACCCAATGACGGCTGAGCATAAGGTACATTGAGAGCATGTTGTGCTGTTTCATGCACATTAGGCCAATGTTCATAGTCTTTATTGACATGAGCCTCCAGGCTTGGTTTATTTGTCTCCTTGGGACGTGCAATCAATGAGGATGGATCATTCTGTGTTGGTGTTAACTCCCTTTTGTGCCTTAATGAGTTTCCTGAAGGATGTTCATACTCCTTTGCCATGAGATTGAGAGTTTTGGAAGTTGTTTGCTGTTGAGCGTTCTTTTGCAGATAGGAATTCATGCCATCTGACGGAGCATAAGATACACTTTTGCTGTCTGAAGCTTGGAGAATTGCTAATTTTGCAGTTGTTGCAGCTATTTCAGCTTCTAGTTCAAGCTGTTCCCTTTGTCTCCGTAGCTGCTGTTCCTGTTCCTCCAGCAAATGCTTTCCCTGCAGGGCTGCTACACGAGCAACAAGCGCGGCCTTCTCAGCCTCTGCTTTAATGCGTGCAGATGCTGTGGAGCTACTGCTTTTCCTGCTGCCAGCACTATGTTTGCTTGAATGCTTGCTGACAGCATTTGACACACTGTCCTCAGGGTGCACATCATCAATGACCTCATTTTCACCTTTATCATTCTTTTCAACCTGTGATGACCTATTTTCATCACCATTGTTGAAAGTTTGTGTAAACCATTTTTGCACACCATCAATGAAATCGTTATTTATCAGCAATTTTGCTTTGAACCATGTTTGTTGTCTTTCAAGTTCATCACCATGTAACAAACCCATCAATGAATCATGTAATGCTTTGGCTTCATCACATAAAACAACATACTTAGCAAAAGTGCATTTGACCTCAGATTCACAATCCTTCTCTGACATTAACTCTTCCACAACCCTCCTTAAGTTACTTGCTTTGTTTAATTTAGCCTCTTTTACCTTGTAACCTTTCAATTTTTTCACAAAGTGCCTTGGCAGTTAATTTAACAACACGTTTTGATTTATCTGCCTTGATTTCTCCATTTTCCTCTGAGTCTTTAATAGACGTCACATTTTCATTCAAGTCATTAGCGGCATCTCCAGCAGATTCCGTAGGCATGTCCAACGCGTCATCGTTATTGTTTATATTTGCCATGGCAACAGTCCGACACGAACACGGAACTGAAACGAGTCAAGTCAGAGTCAAAGTCAAATGTCGTTTTCAGCCACCAAGCTTGGATTTACGCCCAAAAATGTGTGCACACGCTCTAAAAAATGGCCATTTTTATTATGAAGCGCTATCATACCTCATGAGGAAGAATCGGTGATAGTAGACCCCCTAACCGGTCCTGCAGTGGCTCCGGATCCACCTCGTGATCCCGGTACTGGTGTCGGCGAGTTGGCTTCTCCCCATTGGCTGATACGCAGTTGGCGTGGCTCGTTGTTCCCGGCAGCTGGATACCTTTTGTCGGTTTCCCCGTCTTCCCTGGCAACTCCGATGTGCACAGGTGATCCAGCCTCAATCACACCCAGGCAACGCGTGACGACAGTTTCAAAGTTCATGAAGCAGTTTTTGACTAATGTAAGTGTCTTTCCACTGTCACTTACTGCAGGTGCGTGCCGGTGCAATTAATTGACGCGCACTGAGCTTGGCTCCCAATAAACATTGTCCAAACAATTCCCGTTGCTTTGCTCTATTTATTGCTTCCACACATAAGCACAATAAAGTACAGCACATCCGTTTGGCAATCCGGTAGCCTATTATTTAATACTGCTCCTATCTCCAGACCTCAGCCGTGCCTCAGCCACGGTCAAAAACTGTTTGCCTCAGTTCACGCACACCTGGCCTCATTAGCCTGGATGTATAAATGAACTTCCCACAGGAACTTCCCACAGCGCCACCCCCAGTACCAACAATGTTTACAACAACAAATAATAAACACACACATAAACAAATGGCCGTTACAATCTGAATTAGGAAAAATTTGTAGTACATCTGTCTACGGTGTGTCATCAGAGCAGCGCTGTACTGAGACAGTCACAGACATATGGAGGGAATGGTTTGAAATAAAGTTAGACGCTAGAAAACGGCTTTCTAAAGCAAAGTGGTCTGTGACTAATATGAGAAGGGAGTAAGGGAATGCGTGGAAAGATTAGATGAGAGAATATTATAAGAACAAGATCTGTTATTCAGAGACTAGTTCTTCAATAGAAAGTAGTTCCAACATAGCTGATAATGGCAAGAGATGTTGATGTTAAATTTAGTAAATGTTGTTTATCAGTGTTTTTTGATCATTTGGGTGTACAGACTCTTTCAGATGATTAACTCTTGCAAGTGGTAATTGTTTTGTGATTGATTACCCTGCAAATAAATGAAGGTGTGTTAAGGAATGAGTTTAGGATTTTATCTGACCACATTTACTGCACAAAAACTTCCTGACAAAGAGTTTCCAGTTGAGAGTTATTCTCTATGAGTGACTGGTTGACAGGTGACTGGTCTGTGCCAGTCAATGAGAAATAAAATATACATCAAAATACAGGAGCATCATCAGGCGCATCGATGGATGGATAGATGGATTTCAATGGCAACTATATTTATAGGCTCTGTCAAAGATTTCATAAATGAAATAATGACACAGATATACTGGGGTTCCCATATGTTTGTAGACCTTGTTGTTGAGAACTTTCCAGACAGTGCATGCGTGCAGTATCAGTAATTGCTGTGCAAACCCCTGTTGGGATACTCTTCCTGGTATTGAAGGTATTTCTGTGTGTTCATGATACTTGGCTGTCAAAATAACAATCATATGCTGTGGTGGATATTTGTCTCTAGGGAAGCAATTTACTGAGGAGATAGTGAGGACCCCCATTTCAAAGGAGGAGGTGTGACGACCCTTTCCATTCAACCGGGATGTTGCCTCACTCATCTCTCTCTCTTGCAGTTCTGGGAGTTGGCTGGTGGGCGGAGCCAGGAGGGCGGCTCGTTAACACCTGCCCATTTGGGCAGGGCCTCCTTAAGGCATAAAGATCCGCCCCTCTGGTAGCCTGTCTCTCTCTCTCTCTCTCTCTCTCTCTCTCTCTCTCTCTCTCTCTCAGCTGGGCCTGCTGCAGCCACTACAGCCTGTTTCCCCATTTGTTGGGTTTGTTGCACCTTACAACACACATTACACCATATTTTCACTCACCCACACACCTCTGACATGACTGATGACTCTCTTACTCACACACCCCATCTGTTAATTACCTTGTTTTTTCATTTGAGTTGAATAAATCACTTCTTTGATTGAAGTATCTGTGTGTGGCTTCCCTTTTTGTTGCCAGCCTTGAGTCAGTCAGTAACACCAACACTGAGCAAAAAAGAAAATGTTGTGCATAGAATACAAATTATAACTTTATATAGCTATATAAATTATAGCTCACATAGCGTTCCACCAGAAAGCAAACACATGTATTTCCCAGAATCTCGATCTACAGCTTTTGACAGTGAAACATCTTGCTCAATACACATGTTGGTCACAACTCTTCAGCAACCAAATTTAAAGAAAAAAAAAAAACTAATACTGGCCAAGATTTTGTTAGACTTTTTTTAAATGAAACTCTAAAATTAAGTATCAGTATAGGACTCATAAATCCAGTCTTAGACAGTCTCTAATTTGTAGTTTACGAACTAAAACTTGCAAATACACTGGTCTCGGCTCTCTCCATCTGGTAATGTTTTTTTCATAGTCCCCCCTCACCTCCACCCTCCTTTGACTCTACTAAGTATTAAAAAGCGATCTTGTATGGGAAGTGCTGCATCACTTACTGCAGAGCAGCCTGGACCTGGACCTGGACCAAGAGCAACAAAAACAAACTATCTTTCATGTCCACGGGATTTGGCTTTTATTTACTTCTTTTTAAAGCCAAGCTCTTAGTTGAGTCCATTGTTTGTTGCTTTAAGGGGAACTAGATGACTTATAATTCATCAGAAACACACTAAACCCCAGTGGCCTCTTGACATTTCAGCCTGTTGTTGTACTGGATGGTTTCAACACCTGACAAGTGAAAATACTGGTCTGGGCTGGATGTTTTACTGATAAGGATCTCCTGGGAGCAGGGAATGAAAACGAGAGAAAAGAGCTCAAGTGTCAGGACTATGATGACCTGCTGGTGTGTATATGTTGTCACTATGTGTGTGTGTGTGTGTGTGTGTGTGTGTGTGTGTGTGTGTGTGTGTGTGTGTAGGACAATAGTGAGATGGTAACAGAGATAGGGGAATTGTGGTGGTCAACCCCGGGCCCCCTCCCGGCCCCGAGCAGAGCCACCCACCTCCTTCCTCTGTCGTTTGCTGGATGTCCCGAAACTGATGTGGATTTCATGGTTTCACAGTGGTGGACGTTCAGCTGCCAACTGTTTCTCCAAACAGCTTTCTGCTCTCTATTGATTCTTCAACAATGTGTCAGATTAACTGACTGCCAGTAAAAAGGCTGTTAAATGGGTTCCTTGACATTTTGAATTTTCATCTGTCATTTTTCTTTGCCAGCCACTTGTCACATTGTGGAGGAAACTACTCTCTGCCTTGTGTCTTTTGGACTAGGACAGAGCTTATTAGCATTCCTCATTGAGCTTGTGTGTTTACTAGAAAGCTAATGAGCTAGCCGATGATCCACCACACTTTGCATTCCTCATTGACTCATTGTAGGACAGTTAGCTGTAAGAATAATATGATTACAGGAGGCCAGGAAAGATAAGTGATCCACCAGAGAAAAATCTCACTGAAATTAAAAAACCTGAAGTGGGGCAGAAGAGGTTATGTGGGAAGTAGATCAATTATTTCACACATCATCTTCAAAACTTCTTTAACTCAAATACTCTTCAGTTATCAGCTGGGGATCCCAGTATATTTCTCTCGTGGGTCTCTGCTATTTCAGACAATCAGTCTTAAATTCCTGCACAGTGGGAATAACGGATCGATTGACAGGCTGTGTGAGACCTGCCCTCGAATAAATGAATGACCCTGCAAAACGACTTCATAATGATACATTTTCCCACAGGAGAGGATCCCATCAACTGTTCAGACCTGTACACAAACAACTAAACTAAATCAAGACTCTTCTTCAGGACAAGGTTCTTCCTGAAGATAATTCCTGAAAGACTGAAATGCCATGAAAAAAACAAAATAAAGCATTTTTTCTCACTGTCATCTGTAATGCAGAATGTTGCAGTTTTCATGTGTTATATCTAAGATTTTTGCCTGCGTCCCGATATGATGGAGTAAATGGAATTTTGCTTGTGGTGCTCCCATTTTTTATTTTTTATTTTATTCCGACCAAACTAATTTTCATCCGCTATTTTACAGATAGTGCATGTTTTACTGAGTAATCGAGCAAAGGCCATGAAATCATTGCACATATGTATTTACTTATTTACAGTAGTAATTTAATGTGAACCTAATAACCTGATGAACATTTTGGGATCTGAAGAGTGAATATTTTGTTGAATAAGTAATTTTGTAATTCCTGTGTTCAAGTAGTAGATTTGTACAAACCGTTTCCTACGGTGTTACTGAATATTTTTGATTTGCTGGTAGTTCAATGGATTTTTTTAATTATTATTTTTAAGCAGCTAGGTTTTCCTGAATGTGGTGTCTTGCTGGGAGCAGGTGGTGTCGCTTCACAAGAGCTTTGGCCATCATTGTATATGTAATACAAGAGGTCACAAAAATGCCCTCTGAGCAGCGCAACGTAGCTAGCTGGTTAGCGTGCTAACTTTAGTAAAAGAAATGTGATAGAGACAAGAGTTAACATTGGTGTTGCTTTTCACCGCTGGGGACAGCACTTGGTGAGTAAAAGTGAGTAAAATTAAGTTTGATGCTGAACTCAAAATGTTTCCTCTAGACTGCTAAGCTATTTTTTTAAATTTTTGTTTAGTTGTTAATGCTAACGATAGCCAGCAAAACTTAACGAGGCTGACCTGTTGTGAGTTTGTGGCTGCGAGCTGTTTTTGGTGCTAAAATGCTTTGTGAAATATTCTTACACCAAAAGGTCTTAAAGTTAGGACTGACCCATACTTACTTTTTATGAATTTCTCTTAACTTTGAGCTACTTTTACCCTTAGGACGTTTTGTGAATACGGATTTTCTTTTTAGGAATATCTTACACAACATCAAATGGTCTTCATATTATAAGATTTAGTTTAGATGTTTAATCGACAGAAGTCTTTAAAGTCTTTATTCACTAAGAAATCTGACCTTCAGCAAATAGAAAGCATTGAAAACACAACACAAATAGCTCCAATAAACTCAGAACGTGTGTGTCAACAACCCATTTCCTCTATTGTTTTACAACCAAGCACCAAAAAAATAAAGACAAAAGATTTCATGTGATGCTAGTTTTTGGTTGATTGAGAGCTTTATCGCTGCTAAGTTCTTCAATACCTCTATGGGGAGAATACCAGACACCAGAGAATGTGTAGTATCATAATTATTGGTGAAGCTGTAAT